CGCCTGCAGCCACCGGGAGCGACGCGAGGAGAGGCAGCCTCAACACGGCGTCATGCTTCCTGCCACCACATTACGGCGAATCGTCACCGGGAGAGGAGAGAAGAGGGGAGAGCGGGGGAGGGAGGGGAGCAGCTCCACGCAGCCCCCCAGGCTGCCAAAAAGCGCCGAGACGGGTCCACGTCCCGGTGGAGTCCCCGCGGGACCGGCCCCGTTCGCACAATGCGCCGCAGTTTGGCCAAGAAGGCAGGGAGCCGGCCACAAAATAAATAAATAAAAAACAGAGTCGGGTCTACGTAACGCCCTGTCGAAAGCGGACGCCATATTTTTTTGTGGCTTATGTCGACATAGGGAAACGTAGACATGTTTTCCTCCTCCTCCTCGGTCTGGCTTCCATTTATCCAAACTTATAATCAAAACTATTTCATAAAAAAAAAAATCTCCGTTCTCCCCCCACCCCTCGCCCCGTCTCCGCGGATTTCCTCTGTCTCGGAAAAAAAAAAAAAAAACCAAAAAAAAAAAAAAAAAAAGCCTGCACACCCCCCTCCCGCGCACCCCCATCCCTAAGCCGGCCAAGTCCCATTAACAACACATTTTCGGGAGCCGCGGCGGCGGTGGGAAAGTTGGGTTGGAGTAGCGGGCGCCCGGCGTGTCGGGCTCCGGGCTGGCGGTGCCCGCTGCGGGTGCTCCGCGCCGGGGCGAAGTTTCTTACCTGCGCCGGGGTTGGGAACGCGGGGACCCGGGCTGGGAACGCGGAGACGAGGCACGGGCGTTCCAAAATGGAACTCTGCTGGCTCCCCCCACCCACTCCCCACTCCCCACCCGGCGCCCGACTCGGGCTCCGTGGGAAAGAGGTGGTGGTGGTGGGGAAAGCCAGCCTGGCAGACAGACAGACAGACAGAAAAGGCCCCCGTACGGAGAACGGTTGGCCGAAATTTTTAAAAGGGGGGGAAAAAAAGAAAAAGAAAAGAAAAAAAAAAGAAAAAAGAAAAAAAAAGGGGGAAAAATGCCTCGATCAGTGGGGAATCTACGCCAAAACCCACATGATCTGTAACGTCAGCATGCGTATTTGCATACGATACCACCACCGGAGCTGCCACCCCGGCTCGGGTTCCGCAGAAAGTTACAAAGTGAAATTCAGGCCCCTGGGCAGACGCCGGCAAAATGTCATTTTTAGGAGGGAGCTGAGGGTGGGGGGAGGCTGGTCCTAAAGGCTCTGATGAGTGGCCAAACGGGAGGGGGGGTGCAGTAAATGAACTTAAAAGTCCGAGTCCAGTAACGGACTCGATGGAATTTTTGCGGGAAGAGGTGGGGGGAGGCGCAAGCGAGATCATTGAATATTGAGCACAACCCGGCGGGCGCGCGGCCGCGGCCAAACCCTCCCGGTGCAATACCCATTTTCTTTATGAAAAGTTCAAGGTGTCACTGATGAGCTCAACAAACTGTTGATCCTCACCACGTGGAGTGGCGGATCGTGGGACCGCAGGGCGCTAGGGCTTGCCCGGCGCCAGCAACACCCGGGACTCCGCGTCCTCCTGCAGTGCGTGGGGGCAGAACGCGGGTGGGGGCCTCACGCGCCCTGGACTCTGCCTGCTCTTTCGCCCGACTTCCGGCTCCAGAAAATAATAACATTCTTAAAAACTTTTTTTTTTTTCTAAAGCAAGATGCATTTTCCTCCCGGAATAGTAATGAGAAGGCTTGAGAGTAGGGCGGGGAAGAAGGCGCCCCCACTTATATAACCACTCGAAGTCAGATCACTTTTGTTGGGGATTTCCGCTCGCGCCTGGGCTCAGTCTGGTTAAAGATCTTCAAACTTTTTCCCTCCAAACCCATAAACAAACAGACTCCGGGGGAGCTGACTTAAACTTGTCTAGCCCAAGTTCGCAGGGATTCTCAGACTCAGAGAAATGCACACGCTTGCAGCGCGCACTCTGGAGTCCTTCGGAAGTGAGACGGGTCACTTTCCGAACTGGGACAGCCCCGTTCCCGGCGGGAGGGTTCTCCAAACCTGGCCTCCTCCTGCGCTTCAGAGCACCCGCGGGTGGCGTGTGTGTGTGTGTGTGTGTGTGTGTGTGTGTGTGTGTGTGTGTGTGTGTGTGTGTGTGTGTGTGTGTGTGTGTGCCCTTTCTCTGCAGCCTTGGGAACCGTGAACTTGCGACCCGGTTGCTGTGCTGCGGCGACAGTGCAGGGTTAAAACGCTTTAAGGGAGCATCTGAGGGACGCCGAGGGACCTCCCGCAGCAACCTGCCTGCGCTGCGCATTCCTGCCCTCAAGGACCCTGTGTCCCTTTCGCAGGCTCGGGGGCGCTTGGGAATTTCTTGGGCGTGGGCGCTCTGGAGCCCACCGTGGGCGAGGGGGCCGAGCTCTGGGAACCCAGATTTGACCCTGAGACTTATTCGAGGAAAAAGAGGGCCTGGGGCTTGAAGCCTGCGGAGTCGCCTCCCACCCTGCAGATTAGCAGGCGCGTCGCGTCGGGGTTTCCCAGCCAGCTCTGCTCCGGGGAATTAGAACGAACTCTAGCGGCCGCTTGCGACTCCGCTCGGGGCGCCAGGACTGCAACAGGTGGCGGTGTGCTGCGGGGTAGCCAAGGCGACGACCCAGTCTAGAGTGGAAGACTGGCTTTGGGGGCTGATGGGTGGCCACAACTCTGGGGAACCTCTTTTTGGCATTTTACTTTCGTAGACTGCAAAAAAGGAAGTAGTCAAAAAAAAAAAAAAATTAAGGTCGCCCCCAGGGCTCCCATTTCTCTAGTAACCTTTGTTTCTTCGGGAGTTTGTCCTATTTAAGATTAAATTAGCGCACATGCAAATATTTCTTACTAGCTTGCCAGCTTTGGTTGGGTTATTGCTGGCTGGGGCGGAGGGAGGGGCGTTGTCCCCCCCCCCACCCCCCGTTAAGTAAAAGCCCCCAAACCGGGATCCTGGCTGCAGACTGGCTTTCCTGCCCCCTCTCCACTAGGGAGACAAAATCCTCTTGGTTCTTAACAGGATTCCGTTCCGAGCTTTGTTGGTAACTATAATCCGGATCATGCCCTGTCTTTCCCAGACTCATCTGATACCTGTGACCTGAGTCCTGTCAATTTGCATCCAACACCAGAATTTGGGGATGTTGTCTGAGCTGGGTCGTTTTTGTCCACTTGACACAAACTAGGGTCCCCTAAGAAGACAGAATTTCAATCGAAGAATTACCAGATTGGCCTGTGGGCACACCTATGGGGCATTATCTTGATGGACATGGGAGGGCACAGGCCACTCTGTAAGGGGCGACTCCTGGTCTGGTGCTCCTGGGCTCCTCAGGAAAGCAAGCTGAGCAAGCCCGCAAGCAGCTTCCTTGATGGCCTCGGCTTCAGTTTCTGTTTCCAGTATCACGCCTTGAGTTTCCACCTTGCCTTCCCTTGATGATGGACTGTAACCTATAAGTCAAACAGACCACAGACCCTTCAATCTCTCAAATTGCTTTTGGTCATGGCGCTTACCATCACAGCAAGAATGGTAACTAGGACACTGGCTTTTCTCCCTAAATTAGGGTGTGCCAGAATAGTGAAAGGACAAACAAACAGATATTAAAACTGTCACCAGCTCAGTAGTTTTTTACATCTCTTATCTTGTTATGCCCTTCCAGGTCATTTTACCAACACCCCCAGTCCTTTAAAATTAGGTATACTTTGCAGGCTGTTTCCATGGAAATTGCCTAAACCTTAAGGAAGCAATTCCTATTTTGAGGCTCCACTTCCTCCTGATGAGCAATTACTTAGGAAGCTCCTCTATAAGCCAGGCTTCCGTTGCCACCCGCTCCTGGCTGGGTAACAGGTTGTAGATAGCCTGGGAAGAGCCAGAGTGAGGAAGCCAGTGACCCTGGAAGGACCTGTATCTTCAGGGTGCAAATCTCAAAGACACGAGAAGGTGAGGGCTTCTGTGCTGCGCTGTCTTTAGATGGCTCAAAATTTAACATGCGGTGGACTCTCACTGTCAGAAAAACAAAACAAACAGCAAAAGGAGCTTGGGATGATGGATCAGTGGTTCAGAGTACACAGATGATGGAACTGAGTTCCTAGTACCCACAGACAGCGGCCTGTAACTACTGCAGGACATGTGTTCTCCTCATTTAGGCTCCCTGACACACACACACACACACACACACACACACACACACACACACGGGTAGACTTCAGGACTGTTGAAACCAATATTATAAGGGTGATGTTTACTAGGTGCTTTGCATGTGTATGCTAATCACGACTTAATCCTTACAATAACCCTGTGCTCAAAATGTTTTGTCTCAGGCTTCCTCTAGACTTTAAAAAAAAATCACTGAGGACCCCCACACAACTTGTATTTATGTGGGTTATACATATATATTGACAGTTAACATATTTGAAATTAATTATAAAAATGTCTTATTGCTACACATTAATTGCACAAAATAATAGGTTTCATAGCGACATCACACACACACACACACACACACACACACACACACACACACACACACACTTCATACTGTCTGCTATACACCTGTGAGAGAAAAAGAGTCAAAAGGGCAAGCAAAATTTCAGTCTGTTATGAAAATAATTTTGACTTTGAAGACCTCATGAAAGGATCCTGGAGGACCTTCAGGGTCTCTGACCACATTTTATAAGCACTGTTAATAAGTTATGTGCTCTCTCCCCACCTCACAGGTGAAGAAGCTCAGGGATCCGTGACAAGCTGCACAGGCAAGTGGAAGAAATTAGGCTTCACGAGTTCCATCAAGTCCAGAGCCAGAGTTCTTAATCCTGCCCAAGCCCACCTCAGCAGGAGCAGCCGCAGTACTTTCCAGGACTATTTCCCTTAACATCAAACAGAACTTACTAGGCGCCAGGCATTGCATCTGGCTTTCATATGCATTATCTTATCAAATCCTTAGACTCCCATTGCTTACAAGTATGGTTACCCCAGTATATACATAACAATAGGTATGGTGCAGGGAGGTTAAGAAGTGTCTCCAGAGGCCTGGTGAGGTGGCTCAGCAGTTAAGAACACTGGCTGCTCTCCCAGAGGATCCAGGTTCGATTTCCAGCACCCACATGGTAGCTCACAACCCTCTGCGACTCCAGTTCTGGGGATTTCATGCCCATTCTGGCCTCGACAGGCACTGGGCACACATGGCACACAGACACACAGGTAGAAAAAAAGCACACATAACACATAAAATAAAAAGAAATAGATCTTTAGAAGGAAAGGGACTTCTCCAAAGTCACATAGCAATTCCAGCCACGATTAGACCCTGAGTTCCAACCTTTGTCTGGTGGCTTCAGAGCTAAGAATGAAGGACCACCATCCTTTTCTAGATGCCTAAGTGAGAAAGAATGACTTCCACTCTCTAATTTGTGGAGAGGAATCCCACGGTGTTGCTGTGCAGGTGTTGGAGCCGGGACTGCTTTCAACTTGACAGCGGGAGTCTGACTTACTAGCAACTTGAACTTGCATGGAGCACACAACCAGAAGTTTACAAAGTGGAGAAAATCAGAGACTATTATGTATTTGGCTTCCCTGGCTGGCTTGGTCCTTGTATCAACCGTACAAGGCAGGCAGAGCTGCTGTGATCATTTTCACACTACAGAGGAGCCTGTTGAAGGATTGTAAAAATAATAATAGCAGTTAGTCCAAACTCACAGACTAAATCGAGAATGGTGATTAAAATCCAATCTTTTATTTAAAAATTTGTATGATTTTTATGGTCATTATTAATGTGTACTTGCGCGCGTGCGTGCGTGCGTGCGTGCGTGCGTGCGTGTGTGTGTGTGTGTGTGTGTGTGTGTGTGTGTGTGTATGTGCAAGCACACACCTTCCACCCTGCTTTTGAGACAGGGCCTCTTTGTTTCTGCGGTTGTACAATACTCTGATTTAGCTGACCTGTGAGTTTCTGGCCTGTTCTTCTGACTTTACCTCCCATTTCACAGGGGCATGGCACCACATTCAGCTTTTTATATGGGTCCTGGGGACTGAGCTCCGGTCATCAGTCTTGTGCAGCAAGTGTTTTTACTCTCTGAGTCATCTCGCTGGCCCGACCCCAAGTCTCGAAGTAATTGAAAGGCAAATGCCCTTTCCTTATGTGTGCGTGTTATGAGAGGGGGGAGGACCATGTAGCTGAGACTGGCCTTGAACTTTCCATCCTCTTGCCTCTGCTTTTTCTGAGTCTTTGGATTAGTCATGGGCCACCATACCCAGCTGGTCATTTGTTTCTTTCTC